CCATCTCAGGGTAGGATGCGCGATGTGGCATTCGCAACAGATCCTGATGGGTGAGTAGCCTGCTCATGGAGTCATCAATGGAATCATGTGGAACTGCCAGATACTGGATCGAAATTCTTGCCCGCACTAAGGGAGGAGCGGCTTTACATGGGACCAGCTTGGCACAGACTATGCTGCGGGTTGTGAATGCTGAGAAGAGTCTCAAGTTCTATGTTGACCAGTTGGGCATGCAGGTTGTCAAGTGAAACCCGTCCTGATTGTCACGGCGCTTAGCGCATCTAAACTAACAGGTGCTCGGATCACGGTGACTTCTCCCTCTACTTCTTAGCTTCTTTGACTCCCGAGCAAAAAGCACGGGCTCCCCCACCGGAATCTGCTGAGGCTAAGGACTTCGTCAACAGCTTGTGGCAACCTGTTATCGAGCTTACTCACAACCAGGAGCCGCCTAGCGGTGGGAAGTGAGTCCTCCGTCTTAGCGGCACGGTCGGCGATCAACTAAGTTCATCAGGTATCACGACGGCAATACGTCTCCCAAGGGATTCGGTCACACTGCCTTCTTAGTAGATGACTTGGATGCATTCTGTGTTGCTCTCGAAGGACAGGTGAACTCATCTGATTCTCTATCATACACTTTAGCAGTACTTTCAATTAGTGACACATGTGCTTAGTTGAGGATTAGAAATTATGTTGTCGAATATACTGGTCGTGTTCACTATAGGCGGTCCCCTTCCATAAGAGGCCCAACGAGGGCGCTATGCGCAACATCGCTTTCGTGCTGGACCCCGACGGATACAGAGTCGAGTTGATACAGCGTGGCTTAACTTTCAAAGGTGTCGCTGATGGGCTCGAGTGAGTACTACTCACTGAGTAGTCGCTGAGCATTATGACTCTTGATATGCTCTATAGGACTGAGTTTTACTCCTTTTATTGATGATTGCATTGCGTTGTTATGAGTACAAGGAAGATCTTTGACCATTGTGGTGAGCAACATCACTAGAGGGGTTGAGAAGCCCTAGCTAAGCTCCAAATCCAGGCGAATCACGATTCATAGAACACTGGGGACAGTCGTGTGCCGGTTGGCAGAGAACATCGGATCATGATGTCCTTCGAAACATGGGCCTGAACATGGTCATGACGCGCAGTTTTCATCCCCGTAATCGCCGTGACACTTTCGAGATACAGAAAAGTATTGAGTAATCAACAGCAAAGGATCTCAATCATGAGAAGGGATAGTGATAGTTTCCGTTCAGAGTGTGGCACCGTGTCGGTGGAGGCTGGTGAAGGTGCTGCTCAACCGAGGGGCTCTGATTAACGGCTCGTCAGCGATTGATACTGAATGAACTAACGCTATTCACTCAGTAGGCGATCGATTTAGTGTCCTCCCGATATCATGCATTGGCTGCCTGAGACGGCACGGCATGTGATACGCGTGCCGGGGAGGCTCTTGTCGCACAAAAACGATCGAGGTTCAGAGGTCCAACTTGAGTGTTTGTCAAACACTGCTGGGCCCTGATCAACTCCTGACACGGATTCAACTCGATGATCTCTCGGAAACTACCACGTAGATCGAGAACTCCTTGGATCG